GGGCCCCACGTGCATGCAGCACATCAGAAGTTAATCTCCATAATGAGAAATGCCACAGGTAATAGCCCCTGTGGTTGATAGCACACAGCTGAGAGTCACATAGTGATGGCTGGAGGACTGGACTCCACCAGCAGTTGCTGCGTGAAACTAACAGTGCAAGAGCCAGCTTCGGGAAGCACAATAAAAGAAGTAAGCAGAATTGTGCTTTTACTGAGTGGGGACTGTCCAGTCACTGGATGAGCAAAGCACAAAATGATCTAGGGGACTACAAACCAGCAAGGCTTCAACCCCCAGGAAAGACCTGGAAGGCATTTAGGACAGTCAGGAAGTCAAGATGAGGAGTTGGTCCTGGGGCCCTGGGCTCTGGACGAGCCCTTTCAGAGGTTCCCACCCTCTCTCTTGGATTCCACACAGATCTCTAGATAGCCAGCTTTGCGAGGCTGGAGTCTGCCTTGCTCCAATCATGCTGCTGGCCCCCAGCACAGAGCTCACACAGCATGGGCACTCAATAAATATTTGCTGGGTGAATGAATTTCACTGATTAACACTCATGAGCGTATCAGCTGGGATTAGGCTTGGCAAGAAAGGAGCCTAGGACAAGGAAATGCTGCTGGGGGTGGAGCTGGGTGGCAGCTTTGGGTAGCTCAAGGCCACTGAATATTGGGGAGTGGGAGACTGACCTAGAGTTCTAAAGTCATTGTGTGAAGTGGGTCTCAAGAGGCTATGTGAAGGCCCCAAGTCCTAATTTCATGGACAGTAAAGTTCTTTGACTAGGAAGCTGTCCTAAAACTCCAAATGTGCTGAGAGAAGAAGAGAATCTGCCCCCATTCGTGTTTACAGGAATTCCTCCTGTCCTGGGTATTTTAGAGATGTCAGCCCAGGCCATACCCCTCCCCAAAAGGATGACCCTCTGGCAGCTGTGTTGGTGGAAGGTATGACCTGTGCCCCTTGGCTACAGGTCATCAGACCACGAACAGTTCATTGCACAGCTGACCCAAGCCTGGAAACTTTAAATTGGGTCTCTAAGATAGCTGGGGCCTTGCCTGATGGTCTCTGGAAGAGAGAGCATGTAAACTGGAACACAAGGGCACAGAAGATGCAGAAAAGGCTACAGAAGGAGGGGAATGGAGGAGACCCACAGGAGAGGCAGGGAAAGAGGCCATCAGTCCCAGAGAGGGGATTGAGAGGTGCTGTGTCCACTCGCTGAGCCTGGCTATTTATTCTGCTTTGGGACCATGAGAGGCTTCTTTAATCTTAGGATATCAGCCCCCCCACCCCAACACACACACATTCTCTCCTTGCCCAAGCCAGCTCAGATAAGTTTCTGTTACTTGTGATCAAATTACCTTCTTAATCACGAGTGCCCCTTATATGAAGTTCTAGGGTATGGAAATTTTCTTCTGTGTACCTTCTTAAAAACTGCAAGTGTAAGAGTTATAAAGAACGTTGAGTCACTGTGGTAAGAATAGTTAGAATAAGAAAGAATGGGGAATCTGTGAAAGAGGGGAGTAAAGCAATGGCACAGCAGGCCAAAAGCAAGACAAGAAGGAAGGTCCTGGGAAAAAAACCCTGGTGGTGGCCCTGGCCGAGGAGCTGTGTCAGGGGACTGAGGACCTGGCAGAGCCTGGCAAGTGCACTGCTGGGTTCCCTACAGGCTCATGGATGGAACCAAGCCTCGAAGATCTTGGTGTGTTGGGCAAGCGGGACTTTTACCCAAATTCAAATGAGATCCCTTAGCCTTCCCCGGGAAGGGCATCAACCTCAGTAGGATATCAGAGGGACCTTGAGCATTTGCAGGAGACCCCCCAGAGAAAAGAGAACAATGACATTCATCTACTGGAGCTCTGGAGGAGGAGGTTCTGACTTTTCTGGGGAGCCAAAAAGTAAAAGGCGATTGATTGTACTATATCCATTATTTATCATTTAAGGTGTGTGAAATGTTACTGAGAGTCTTCAATTAGCATGTGGCTTTTATTGTTTTGTTTTAGTGACTATAAATGCAGTAAAGTGAAGAAATCATGATTTAAAATACAAAAAGACAGTTGCTGCTTCTCCTGCCAAGGCCATCGGGGATGTGGGGGGCCCCGAGTCACACAGGGAATCCTGACATGGCCTGCAGAGGCCCGTGGGGCGGGAGAAGGGGGAGAAGGCAGTATCGAGCCTCTTTCAAGTCTTCGAGGCTGCTGAAGGGCTAGACTTAAAAGAGACGGTCTCTGTGTTTAGGTCAACCCGTTATGTGGCCTCAGCTGCACAAAAATGGGCCCTGAGTCAAGGAGGGGCGGGAAGAGAAATTAATGTGACTGAAAAGTGAGGGGACTGGGTGTGTGTGTGTGAGGAGGGGGCTCAGCACTGAAAGCAAGGAGATGTGAGGGAACTCGGGAGGGGACAGGGGCTGGGCAGGAGGTCCCCAAAATATGGTAGGAGGCTGGAACTGCAGAGAAAAATGCTCAATGGGAAATTCCAGTGGCCAGAGGATTTTTAAGAACAGGGATGTCTAGTAACTCATTTTTAAAAATTGTGTATCTCTGCGATGTTAAACTTGGTTCCAAACCTCCAGCAAAGCCTGCCACTCACATGTATGCCATATGTAACCAACTTGGGGGGAACCAAAGAAGGTCTGAACTCCATGCCGGAGCTGGCCAGGAGGTAAAGGCGGAGGACAGGTATAGGAGGTGAAACACAGAGAGATGACAAGCCCACCAGGGAGGGACTTGGAGCCAGGGTGACACTGAGATTGGCAGCCCCTGGGAATACACAGCAATTTCAGCAAAGACATGGACCTCCCCCAGGATGAGGTCATGGAGATTAGAGTCCACTTTAGCTAATTCTCCAGGAATAAGATAAACCTGGCTAATGCATGGTTTATGAAAACTTTCCATTTATTAGGATCCTCATTGGTTCACTTGCAAACGTGGACTCTCAACCCCAAATTCCCCTCAAGGTCTTAAGGTCACTAACTCAGGATTCTCTTCTAATAGGACTTTTTGTTTGTTTTTAGAATAGCTCTCATGGCTGGGGAGGGAATGCTATGTATGTTGATAATTCCAGGAGATCCAGGTTTTAAAGTGTCAAAGTACAAGAAGAAAAAGAAAATACATGCTTCCTTTGGGAAATATATTTTAATTTGCTTTCCTGCCTGACCCCCACCCCAAAGGGGGCATATAAAGTCTAGAACGATCCTCATTCTTTCTCCTTTTCTGTTTTCCTTTCCCTCACCTCTCTCCAAGCTGTATCCTTCCAAGACACAGATTTGTAAGGTACACAAAGGCAAGGAAGCTACCCCATTTTAAAGCTTCAAACTCTAAAAGAACCCTAACCATCTTTGCACCTATGCTGGAAATTGCCTGTTTCAGGAACTATTCATGGAGGAGACGCTTTAGAGACAAATATGTGTTCTGTCCCAACCCTTGCTCCTTCCTCATCAGAAGTGAGAACGGAAGGCCACATGAAATATATCCTTGATCCTAAGGCCTTGGAATGAGGCTCAATATGAGGCTCAAATGCCTGACTGGAAAACAGTCTTTCTCTCTTTTACTGCTCCTCTTGGGGTGGTTTTGATCTTCTGGTGACTCCAGAGTTAATACTGGGCAAGTAGAAGAAGACCTTAATAATTTTTCACACGCCTCCCACCAAAAGGATCTCATAAGCCCTTGGTACCAATGAGGACATCCAAACCAAACCAATATCCACTTGTAGAGGAAAAAGATTTGGGGTCCTTGCTCTTAAATTGGGTTAATGTGTATTAGTTGAACTAACATCTATTAAGTGCCTACCATACACCTACCATGTTATTTGTTTCTTCTCTGCCTCAGGAGGAATCCAGCAAACTCAATTTTAAAAGGGGACCTTATCCCTAAATGTGGGGGAGGTGGTGGGGTTATAGAAGAATGCCCCAGAAAGGGAGGGTGAGGCATCCAGATCCAACATGGGGAGCAGGAGGTCTTCCCCGCAGGCTTGCTTTTCTCTGGGTCTCTGATGTTCCCACCCCTGAGCTGGCCCAGGTATGCATGCATGGCTTCATCAGTGCTCATCTCTTACGCTAGACAGCTCCAAAGGACTCCCATTAACCCATCTCCCACATAGACACATTTACTCTAGAAAAGCCACAGGACTTGGTAGACTTGGTGCCAAGGAGAGCAGTTGTTCAGGGCAGCTGCAAGACTGGGGGTGACTCAGTTGGCCTTTGGGAGCATGTATATCAGATCTTTTCCTACAGGGATGCTGAGACACTATTACTGCCTCTGACATTCCTTTGAAGGTTTAGATGGTAAAATAACTAATTTTGCCTTGCTCAAGACAGTGGAAATATGTAATAGAGACAAATGAAATACCATTTATTGGGCAGATTTAGAATATGCTGGGGTGAAGTCATGTCCCTAGAAACAGAAAAGTCTCAAAAGAATAAAATGTCATAGCTGGGCTCCAAGGACTCCAGTCTTTTCACTTAAGATTGATACTTTTCTTTCCACAGGAAGGAACAAAAGACTGATTTTTTAATCAGCCCAGAACTGATTTCTACAGCAGCAGCAGAAGGCCTCAGGGGATTTGCTGACCTGGGAGAGAGCTTCCCAGGGGTCTGCAAGCTACCATGCAGATGCCTAGACAATTCTGTACCATTCCTTCAAGCTCAGGTGAGGAAAGAGGGTGGAGGTAATGTGATGTGGAATTCAGTTTACTGAGCACAATGCCTCCTGCCAAACTGTCATATTTGTGCTTAGGGCAATGGCTGTGTGGCCCCTAAGAATTTGGAAATGAGGAAAATAATTAAACTATGAAATCAGCTTGGAATGGATCAGAGCAGAAGTCTCAAAGTCCCCAGAGAGAGACGGGGCTCAGCCTGACTAAAGGTGTCCCTGGGCAGGGAGGTCGGTCTGCAGGGGTGGCAGAGCACAGGGTGCTGAGAGCCCTGATCCCAGTCTCCAGAGAATCTCCCTGCCCTGTCACCCCATCTGGGCTCCCCAGCAGATGGCTACCCCCAAATGCACCCCTCAAGAACTCACGGGTCCTGCTGACATGATCCACATTGCTGTCCCTGCTGCTTCCCCTGCTGCCCACGCCAGTCAGCTCCTGCTGTGGTTTGTCTGGCTGCAGGCCCCAGCAGACCTTTTGCAGGCCCGGAAGACGTCCCTGGTGGTCCCTCTTCCTTTGAGGGTAACTGGGGACTGAAAGCCCAATGTGGATGGAACGGCAGTCTGTGGGCAGAGCACAAAAGAGCGGGGGAGGCAAGGATTACCAAAAATGGGCATTTCTCCTTAATATCCTCCAGTTACAAAGAGCTAGGGCCACCAAAGCAGAATGGAAGACATGGGATTCCTGGCCAGGGCCACTGCCCCGAGTCTTGGGTTTGACAGAATTCCATTTCTGAACAACTCAACAGTTGCTGGAAACGATACCCTTGGTGCTGTAGTTAGAACTCAATTAGAGTGAACAGAATTCCCATCACTCTGTTCTTTCTTGTCCAGAATGGCAGTAACTGCATAAGGCTTATGACACATGGCCTGGGAGAGAGTCCCTCTGTGAGTCACAGATTTAGTCCAAAACACCAACGCCCCCTTCTTTGGGAAAGCCCTATGTATTTCCATTGAGGGCCACTTTTACTCATAACCAAAGACTACATAAACTACTTACCAGAAAGGTGAGTTACTAAGGATATCTCCAAACTGGTTTTGTATAGTAGAATTTTCAAGAACTAGAATCACCCAGAACCTTAATTTCGAATTCCACTAAGAAGCCTGGCTGCTCTGTAAAGCCCCCACTGGGTCTTTGCACACAAAAAGTAGCTGCAATTCTCTCAGCTCTCAGGATGGACGTTCTGCCATCAGTGTTTCATCAGTGTTGGCTTGAATTGGACAACAGTTTTTTAAATAATCAATAGATTTAGTTTTATATGTACAGAATAATTGAGTAGATAGTACATAGGAACTTGGACTTCCATCCTACCCCTACCACACCCCCACTCCACAAACAGTTTCTCCTATTATTTTTTATTGAGGTATAATTTACATATAACATTGTACTAGTGTAAGGTGTACAACATACTAATTTGATAGATGTATATATTGCAAAATGATTGCCACAAGAAGCTTAGTTAACATCCATCACCCCACATAGCTGCACTTTTTTTCTTGCAATGAGAACTTTTAGGATCTACTCTCTTGGCAACTTTCAAATATACAATACAGATTGCTACCTATACTTACCATGCTGTACATTCCATCCCCAGAATTTATCTTATAACTGGAAGTTTGTAACTTTGATTACTTTCACCCCTTTTGCCCACCCCCAAGCCCCGGCCTCTGGCAACCACTAATCTGTTCTCTGTTTCTATGAGTTTGATTCTTTAGATTCCACATATAACTGAGATCATACAGTATTTGTCTTCTCTGTCATTGCCGAGACTGCCAAGGAGCTAATCCTCTGTGTTTTCTTCTTGGAATGTTGTTTCAGGTGATACATCAGACTTTTACCCATTTTGAATTGTGTGTGTGTATGTGTGGTATAAGATAGTAGTCCAATTTTATTCTTATGAATGTGGCTGTCCAGTTTTCTCATCAGAGGGATCATCCTTTCCCCATTGTATATTCTTGGTTCCTTCATCATAAATTAAGTGAACTTAAAATTGTGGGTATATTTCTGGCCTCTCTCTTCTTTTCCATTGATCTATGTGTTTGTTTTTATGCCAATACTATACTGTCTTGATTAGTATAGTTTTGTAATATCTTTTGAATCAGGAAGCATGATGCCTCCCGCTTTGTTCTTTTCCAGGATCACTTTGGCTATTCATGGTCCTCCATGGTTCCATACAAAGTTTAGAATTATTTGTTCTATTTCTGTGAAAAATGCCATTGAAATTTTGATAGGGATTGCACTGAATCTGTAGATTGCTTTGGGTAGCCTGGACACTTTAAAAATATTAATTCATCCAATCCATGAGCATGGAATATCTTTCCATTTGTTTGTGTCTTCTTCAATTTCTTTTATCAATGTCTACAGTTTTCAGTGTACAAGTCTTTCACCTCCCTTGTTGAGTTTATTTATTCCTATGTATATTACACTTTTTGTGGCAATTGTAAATAGAATTGTTTTCTTAATTTCTCCTTCTGTTAGTTCATTATTAGTATATAGAAATGTACCTTTCTGTATTAATTTTTGTATATTGATTTTGTATCCTGCAACTTTACTGAATTTGTTTATTAGTTCTAAAGTGTTTTGGTGGAGTCTTTAGGGTTTTCCATATATATTTATTACATCATCTGCAAATAGAAACAGTTTTACTTCTTCCTTTCTAATTTGAATGCCTTTTATTTCTTTTTCTTGACTAATTGCTCTGGCTAGGACTTCCAGTACAATGTTGAATAAAAGTGGTGAGAGTGGGCATCCTGATCTTAGAGGGAAAACTTGCAGCTTTTCATTGTTGAGTATGATGTTAGCTGTGAGCTTGTCATATATGGCCTTTGTTATGTTGAGGTACATTCCCTCTAAACTCAGTTTGTTGAGATTTTTGATAATGAATAGATGTTGAATTTTGTCAGACACATTTTCTGCACCTATTGAGATGATCATATGATCTTTATCCTTCATTTTGTTAATGGGGGTGTATCACATTGATTGATTTGCAGGTTTTGAACTATCCTTGCACTCCTGAAATAAATTCTACTTGATCACGGAGCAAGACCATTTTAATGTATTGTTGAATTTGGTTTCCCAATATTTTGTTGAGGTTTTTTGCACCTTTGGTCATCAGAGATATTGGCATGTAATTTTTTTTTTCTTGTAGCATCCTAGTCTGTTTTTGATATCCAGGTAATGCTAGTATCATAAAATGAATCTGAAAATGTTCCCTTCTCTTCCATTTTTTGGAAGAGTTTGAGAATGACTAGTATGAATTCTTATTTAAATGTTTGGTAGAATTCACCAGGTAAGCCATCTGTTCCTGAACTTTTGTTTGTTGGGAGGTTTTTCATTACTGATTCAATCTCCTTACTAGTAACTGGTCTGTTCAGGTTTTATGTTTCTTCACTATTTAGTTTTGGTAAGTTGTATCTTTAGGAATTCATCCATTTCTTCTAAGTTGTCCAAATTGTTCTCATATAATTGTTCACAGTAGTCTTTTTTGATCTTCTGTATTTGTGTGCTTTCAGTTGTATGTCTTTTCTTTCATTTCTAATTTTATTTATTTGAGTCTTCTCTTTTTTTCCCCTTGATAAGTCTAGCTAAAGACTTGTCTATTTTGTCTTTTTATCTTTTATTTATTTATTTTTAAAGATTTTATTTCTTTATTTGACAGAGCAAAACCAGTTCTTAGTTTCAATTGATCTTTTCTATTGTCTGTTTAGTCTCTATTTTGCTTATTTTTTCTCAGATCTTTGTTATTTCCTTCCTCTATTAACTTTGGGCTTAGTTTGTTCTTCTTTTTCTAGTTCCTTGAGATGTAAAATTAGGTTGTTTACTTGGGCTTTTTCTTTTTTCTTAATGTAGGCATTTACTGATATGAATAGATTACCCTATTATTAATAACTTGCATTAGTGTGGTACATTTGTTACAATTATAAACCAATATTGATATGTTATGATTAACTATAGTGTATTGTTTACATTAAGTTTCACTCTTAGTGTTGTATAGTTTTACGGGTTTTGACAAATGCACAATGACATGCATCTACCATTACAGTATCATACAGAATAGTTTCACCAGCCTAAAAATTCCCTGTGCTTCACCTACTCATCGCTCCCCTTCCTGAATACTAAAGCTACGTTCCTCCTGGATCTTTACACTTTGTTCTCTTTTCTTTTTTTCTTCTTTCTGAAGAGAGATGAGAATGGGTGGGGTAAAATGAGTGGGAAGATCTTTTTCTCTGCTTATGTGAACTGCAGCAAGAATGTTTGAGAGCTACTAGTTTAGGATAAGTTTGAGCCTGAAATTCCATGGTGACAATTTTCCAAAGAGTAGACTGGCCAAAAAATATTATTGTAACTATAGTAGTTCCCCCTTTCCACAAGGGATATGCTCCAAATTCCCTAGTGGAGGCCTGAAACTGCACATAGCACTGAACCCTATATATACCATGCTTTTTCCTACACATACATACATATGATCAAGTTTAATTTATAAATTAGGCATAGTAAGAGATTAACAATAATAATAATAAAAGAGAATAACTGTAACAATATATGATAATAAAAGTTATGTGAATGAGGTCTCTCTCTCTCTCTTTCTCTCAAGATATCCTATTGTACTGCACTCACTTTTCTTCTTGTGATGGTGTGAGATGATAAAATGCCTTTATGATGAGATGAAGTAAGATAAATGACATAGGCACTGTGACATAGTGTTGGGCTACTACTGACCTGATGATGATGTGTCAGAAAAAGAATCTACCTGCTTCCAGACCATGGTTGAATATGGGTAACTGAAACTGAAGAGAGTGAAATCACAGATAAGGGGGGACTACTGTATTTTTGAAGCCCAAGGATGGCAACTGAGAGTTGAAAGCTGCTGCAGAATGGGAAATTAGACTCTGTGTTCTTATGGCAAGATCTACATTAACTTGATTTTATTTTCCTTGGAGGGGAGGTCTGCCTCTCGGCTCAAACTCCTGAAATGCAGATGCTAATGTCTGGGCATTCATTGACTGCAGATATCACACAGAAACCACATCAAGCTGAACCATGGAGAATATATCTAACTAAGCCCTTTAGAGATATGTTGAGTGTCTACTCTAGTGAAAAGATTCTATGAGTCATTCCTAGCCATGGGAAAGTGAGTTTATCTGGATGTCAGTGTCCAAATCTCTTTAGAGCCCAGCTCACCCAAGCTTACCTCACTGCTCACTCTTCTGAACCTTCAGTCTTTCTAGGTTGTAATGAGAAATGTGAGGTGGAGATTTTTATGAAGTACAGCCTTGCTTTCTAGTGGACCAATATCAGAATGACTGGTGCTCCTCCTTCCTTCCCTCCACTCCCTCCAGGATGGTGTGACTTCCCTTGCTCAATTCTACCATTTCTTATGCAAGCTGTAATTCAAGTAAGCCATGGACACCAGTAAGAGGTAAGTAGTTTCATCTAAGGGATTAGCAGATGAGTTCCTATTCTCCACTGTTGAGGCCAGGAACAGAAATGAGAAGCAGCTGATATATCAGAAAGGCCTCTGCCAAGAGTCACCTGCCCTGGATGTTCCCTGGCTTGTTCTTCACTTGCTCTATGGCTATGGACATCTGCCTCTCCAGGACCCAGTGTCCTCACCTGTAATGTGGGAATAAAATCCCTTCTCTACTGTCTGGGCAAGGTTTTTGAGAAGATAGAATGGGATGGTATATGGGAACATGATTAGAAAATTATAAGGGCTATACACATGAAGACTATGCTTATTAAAGAAATTAGGGGAGATAGCTATCAGAAAAATATTTGTCCTGGATCTAACTTGTCCCTTTTCATCCTGGCTCCCATCATAATCATCAGAGTGTGGCTGTGTAGCTGTTGAACTACAGAGAATGGCTAGCCCTCTCCCAAGCTTCCTCCTTCACTTTGCGAGACCTCTCCATTCACTGTGAATATCTTGCAGTTTGGCTTAGGACAATGCCAAGTTCTCCTAGGAACTCCTCAACTGCATTCTTCTCCACTCACAGCCCCAGAATGGCTCTATACATTCTGAAGCTCAGCAAGCATCCAGCTGGGCAGTGAGATTAGTGTTTCCCTCCAAGTGGGACAGGGGCAGTGGCAGGGCAGTAGCCTGTCTGGTTGCCTTTTCATAAGTCCTGTGGTTGCTTCTCTGTAGAGTGTAGGAACTTAGGGCCTCTGAGTCAGCAATTTTGGAGCAACAGATACCCCCCCTCAATATTCTCTTGCACTAGTTTTAACTGAGCTGCCATTTTTAGAATCTATATAATAGTGGCATCTTGTATAATTTGTAGATCTTGTAAAATTAGGTAAGTTTAATTTTGTGTTGGGGATGCTATGCCCTAATTCATAGAAACAAAGCGCCAGTTTCCTCTCTTCTGCCCACTATGTGGTCTCTTTAAGACACAGTGAAGCCTGGTCCCATTGGATCCAGAGAAGACACTGTGGGTAGGTCAGGGAAAGGGATAAGCTCTCCTAGATCCCTCCGCTGGAGGGGTGTTATAAGGATATTTAAGAAATTGGCAGACCCTCCTAGGATTTGCATCAAGTTCTCAGGATGACCTTACCTTCCTGATCCTGACATCTCCTCCTGTAGTTAGCAGGGTCCAGCTTCCCTACCCCAGCCTTCTCTTCTTCCACCTTCATAACTATAAAAGATGAACACAGCCTCAAAATATATACGACACAAAAAGGTAGGATTTCAAGGAGAAATGGCCAAATCCACACCCATAGTAGGAGACCTTAAAGCAGATGAAAAATTTAAGGCAAAAGAATATATAAACAAATTGGAGAAGTTCAAATATCTATCTCTAACAAATGAGAACAGATCTCTTTTTCAAGTACAAATGGGACATTTATAGAAAGCACATATCTAGGGGCACCTGGGTGGCTCAGTCATTAAGCATCTGCCTTCGGCTCAGGTCACGATCCCAGGGTCCTGGGATTGAGCCCCACATTGGGCTCCCTGCTGAGCTGGAAGCCTGCTTCTCCCCCTCCCACTCCCCCTGCTTGTGTTCCCTCTCTCACTGTGTCTCTCTCTGTCAAATAAATAAATAAAATCTTCAAAAAAAAAAAAAAGGAAAGCACATATCTAGTGCACAGGAAAGCCTTAGTAAATTTCAAAGAATCTGTATCATACTTCTATAGCAAGAATGTATATATTATATATATAAATATATATACATATATGTGTGTGTGTAAGATGTAAGATAGTCTTACACACACACATATAACTTTAGACTAAAAGTAATTTCTACTCATGGGTTTAATAAAAAACCACAATGGAAATTATTAAATATTTAGAACTCAACAATTACAACTACTAAATATTGCTCTATGGCCATGGACTAAATATTGAAACTTATGGTATGCAACATTTTTAGAGGAAACAGGGAAAGAAGGAGAGAAGGGAGGGAGGAAAGAAGGAAAATAAATGTGATAAGCATTCAACTAAAGAACATAGGAATAAAAACAAGAGAAAACCCAAAGAAAGTAGAAAAATGTAAATATAAAATATCAAACCAAAAAATAATGAAATAGAAATAAGAATAGATGGTTAATAAATCCAAAGGCAATTATTTGAAAGATTATTACAATAGGCAAATTAAGCAAAACTAATCAAGAAGAAAAAAGAATATTCATAAGTAAACACTATTAGGAATGAAAAGAGACATAACTAAAAATATAGTGGAGAATTTAAAAATTAAAAGTGAATGCCATGAAAAATTTCATGCCAATACATTTTAGCTTTGATAATAATAATAATAATTACCATTTCTATGTACCAGGAACTATTTTAAATGCTTTGCATGTATGACTTAATTTCTTCTCAACAACCTTATGAGATAAGTAACATTATTATTCCCATTTTACAGAGGAGGAAACTGAGGCACAAGAGCTTAACTGACTGCCCAAATGGAAGAACAGAGATTCAAACCCAGACAATCTCTTTCTGGAATAAAAGTTCTTAGCTATGAGGCTGATAAATGGATATTTGATTAGAAAAATAATAGAAGTGATCAAAATTGACTTTAAAAGAATTAGAAAACCTCAACTAACCAATAACCATTAACTGAAATGTTTATGGGGAAGTCATTACAAACAGCCTTTCCCATGTCCCATGGATAATTATTGAAGCTGGATTATAGGTACAAAAGGATTATAATTTTTTCCCTATTTTTGTTATGTCTGAATTTTTTTCTATAGTGAAAAAAAAGTAAACACCAGAAGAAGATAGTTTTTAAAAAATGTTTTATCCAGGGGCGCCTGGGTGGCTCAGTCATTAAGCATCTGCCTTCGGCACAGGTCATGATCCCAGGGTCCTGGGATCAAGCCCCGCATTGGGCTCCCTGCTCGACGGGAAACCTGCTTCTCCCTCTCCCACTCCCCCTGCTGTGTTCCCTCTCTCGCTATGTCTCTCTCTGTCAAATAAATAAATAAAATAAAATCTTTAAAAAAATGTTTTATCTGAACCTTCAAGGATTAGATAGTCTCTAACTGATATAAAATGGTTTTCAAAAGTAGAAAAAAGGAAATTGGAGGCAGTAGATACATCTAAAGACAAGGAATACAGGGTTGGACTAAAAGCAGAAGAGTTGGTTGAAAATCTTCATAAGGAGTCAATTAAACCCTCAGATCTCCCTCTCCTAGGCTCTAGTTTCCTAGAATGCACCCCCTTCTAGAATATGGAGGGGTTAAACCAGAAGACCTCTGGATAACTAAGGACAAGAAAGAGTCATTTCATTGAGGGGTGGGGAGAGAATTTAAGCAAAGGCAGTTAGCCACTCAGGCCTCTGCCTACTTGACCCCTACAACACTAATGAAGTTTACACACTCCAGGTGGGAGATTGGAGGACTTACAGATCCTGATATTTTGGGGACCTCTAACAAATGGTTAGGGCTCCACCCAATTGCCCACTATGAGCCTATGATTCAGTAAGTCCAGCCTGTCAAACAGTTGTTTGGCAGCTCACTCCAAAATCATGGCCAGCCAAGAATCACCAGAATGACAGAGACCAAAACAAGCAGGAAAAGAGGAAGTCCAAGGAAACAGGAGCAACCTAGGCAGCCAAAGAACCATTTAAAAAGCATATAATTCACATCTTCAAGTAGACTAGAAAAGACCTTGTATCTATGACAAAAAGAAAAGTAAAATGCTATAACCTGGAACTTTTAAAGAATAAGAAATAACTCTTGAAAATTAAAGATATGTTAGAAGAAAAATTTCAGTAAAAGAGTTGGAACATAAAGTTGAAAAAATAGGTGAGCTAATAGAGCACAAATACAAATAATTTTTTAAATAGTAGGAAAAAGGCAGGGAAATCAGAGGACCAATCCGGGGGGTCTAACATCAAAGCAATAGAAGTTCTCACAGAGAGATCAGAAAAAATAATGGAGGAGAAATTATCAAGGACAGGAGAATACTTCCCAAAACTGATGGATTTGAATTTCTTGGTGGAAAGAACTTGCTGAGACTCAGGAAAATGAATTTAAAACAAAATCCACTCCAAGTGACATCATTATGAAGTGTTAGAATATTACATATAAAGAGAAGACCTTAAAAACCTTCCAGAAGAAGAAAATAAGTCACCTACAAAGTATCAGGTGTGAGAACTGGCATCAGACACATGGAAGCTATAAGACAATGGAGTTATGCTACCAAAAGTGAGAAAAAAATTATTTCCAACCTAGATTTCCAGTCCAAACCAAACTATCAAATGTGAGGGTAGAAAATGGGGCATTTTTTGTACAAGAAATAGCTTAAAATTTTACTACTTATGCCCTTTTTTCAGGAAGTGGTTGAAGGAAGAACTCCAGCAAGATAGAAGAGCATCTAAGAAGGAATATAACATCTAGAAAATGGGATTCACCACAAAAGACTGACACAGAAGTCCCTGGGAAGAAGCTGTGTAGCAGTCCAGAGAACAGTGTGTGCATCTTAGATCAGGCTCTGCATGGGTTCCCCAAGAAAAACCTGAAACTGATCAATTATCTGGATGTGTTTCACTGCTTTGAGAGGATACCAAGATTCTTTCAAGAATAAAAAGTCCATGGAAAGGAAAAGTGATCATTGAATACTATGTAACTCAAATGTGAGCAATATTTACATAGTCATAATAAATAAAAATGAATATTAATTTAACCAAAAACTGTGATATACGCAGGGTTGGTATTCCACCAGTGTGCAGTATTATGTGTATGTTGCTGTTTGTGGCTGGTGTTCAGGTATCCATTCCAATTGGTCAGTGTCAATGCCATATGGGTTATTAAATATTTTTAATTTCTACATTGGATGTAACTATTTGGAGAGATGAGGATTTGTCAGGGGGAGGGGGGTTGTAAGACACCTGTAGAGGACACTGCTAACTACCTGCCTGATGTCCATCCCCCTTTCTGTTCTGATTTTATTCAGGGCAGCAATGTGGCTGACTAAAAATAATCACTTCCCCCAAACGCCCTTCAGCAATCGCTAAAGAGATATAGGAGAAGGAACCTAGGAAAAGATTCCCTTCCTGGATGAAGCCTCTGCAGAAGAAAGCTCCTCCATTTTTCCTTCTTCTTCCCTGGATAAGGTTGCCAGATTTAGCAAATAAAAATAGAGTTTTCCCAGTTAAATCTGGGTTCCATATACACAATTAATGCTTCTTAGTATAAGTATGTCCCATGCAATATTTGGAACATACTTATACCAAAAAGATTACTCATTGTTTATATGAAATTCAAATTTAACTCGGGAAACTGTATTTTATCTGGCAAACTATTTCACCTCTGCATCTGGAGCATAGACATGGTGCCTGGAAGTGCAGCAGCCATCTTGTCATCATGGTAATGGAGGCCATATGCTAACTGTGCATACAAGGGGAGGAAGGATCCTGGATCTTTAATGTCTTCACTGAGTCATTCTACAGCACTGGACAGCCCACAGTTGGGTTTCTTGTTATGGAGAACAGTTAAACCACTTACTTGTTTAAATACTATAGTTAACTTTTCTGTTACTCTAAAACCACACCTGGGTCATAGGACAAAAGACTCTGGGACTGTATTTACTGGGCAAATAAGACTGGGTTCTGGGGGCACCTGGGTGGCTCAGTCAGTTAAGTGTCTGTCTTCAGCTCAGGTCATGATACGAGGGTCCTGAGATCGAGCCCCGTATCAAGCTCCCTGCTCAGCAGGGAGTTTGCATCTCCCTCTCCCTCTGCCCCTCCCCCCTGCTTATGCTCTCTATCTTGCATGCATATGTGCACACAAATAAATAAATAAAATCTTAAACCTCCCCCAAAAGAAAACCACATTAAAAAAAAAAAAGATTGGGTTCTGTTAGTAAGGAAAACAGGGGGAATGGGCACTGAGTGGTCATGGAGCAGTGTCTGCTACACTTTTCAACACCCATTCCCTTCTTGTCTAGGCTGTTCTGTTCAGGTAGAGACACAGGGCCCTTCATTGCGGTAGACACCTTCCCCAATTCCAGGCATGAATTGGATCTGTCTAAATTATTCATGGTAATCATATGGCCTTTGATCAGTAACCAGTCTTAGGAGTAGTCATGTACCCCTATCAAGCCAGTGAGATTTAAATGGAAGTCCATTGGGTAGACTTCCAGGAAAGCTTTTATTTCCCTAACAAAATGTGACAGACCCCTCTGGAATGC